CAAGTCAGGGAAGTCCAGATGTTAGCACTGGATCATGCCCTAAATTTATCCAGGCCTTGCCACTTTCTACTCAACCCCTGGACCTCAGGGACACACTGACAGAGGGTGATGTTTGCTTTGTGTGGGGCTGGGCCTAGGGGAGTTGATTTCTTGGCTGTACCTGCAGAGACACGGTGAGTTTTAGTAGTGGGTTTTTAATACTTTGAATGTTTGGTAACATGGGGAATGTTGGATTGCTTGCGTGAGGAGAGCAGTTGTTTTCCATGTACTTTGCTAGGTCCCAGTGGGCAGGACCCTTTGTGTCCCTGCCAGGAGGGCTCTGGATACCAGTTCTTGGTCATGTGACTCATAGCTCCATTCCCCCTTAGGACATTTGGAGAGAGAGCCTTTGGGTTAAAATCAAGGCAGAGCAGGGCTTGAGGAATTTTTATTTTTCACTTCAGAGGAAAGCGTCTAAGAATCCCTGTACATTTTGCCTGCTTCAGTGCCCTTGGTCCTCCTGGGGTGGGTAAGAGCAAAGGTGTGGCAGTGTGTGACAGTTGTGTGGTGCAGTGGTCAGCTTTTCATTGCTATGGCCAAGCAACTGGGAAAATCAATTGAGAGGAGGAATGATTGATTTTGGCTCCTGGTTTCAGAGTTCACGTCCATGGTCAGCTGTTGCAGAAGGGCCTGGTAGAGGAAAATTGCTCCATAGCATCAGGCAAGCAGAGAGTGAGGAGCCAAGAGCAGAGGCCAGGGACCAGAATTCCCTGGTCATACTTAGTGACCCACACCCTTCAACCACACCCGGCTCCTAAAGTGCTATAATATCACCAAATTATGGACAGTTTAATGCACTGGAATTGACCCCTCATGATGCAGTCACCTGGAAGCCCCCCAATAAATGCATGAGACTTTGGGGGAGATTATAGATCTGAACCCTGAGATATAAAAGGTTAAAGTCATCCTGTTAGAGTGGTCTGTGCACACCCATGTTTACAGCAGCACACACAAGGGCTAAACCATGGAAATACCAGTGTACTAGAAAAAGAAAATGTGGCATTCACACCCTTGTGTGCTGCTCTGCTGTAAGGAAGGGTAAACTGGAGCCATTCCTGTGAGAGTGAATGTACCTTCAGACCACAATACTCAGGGAAATAAGTCAGACGCAGAAGGTTAAATCCTGCGTGGTTACTCTAACATCAGAGACTCAAAAATATAGGTGATCTGAAGAGCAAAATAAAGGGGCCCTGCTGAGGAACAGGGAGGTGGACTCTGGAGATGAGAAGGAGGCGGGGGATGCGGGAAGAGGGGCAACACTGATCCAGATGCGCTACATGATCCATGTGTGTGTCCGCCCAGGCTCGGTGTGATCACTGTGTTGCAGACATCTACTGTGAATGGTGGGAAAGAGAAACCAGTTGACCTTTGTGTCTAAAAAGAGGGACAGGGAAAGCTCAGACAGGGAAGCAGTGGCATCCTGGAGGAGCCCCGTGGAGATGGGCTTTGAGGCCAGGTGTGGTCGCTGGCTGGTGTGTACAGGCCCAGGACAGCCTGCTCCCTGTGTTTCAGTCCAGTGAGGCTCCGTGCACTCTCTGACTCCAGAGCTGTAAGCCTTTGCCCGTGTTGTTTTCAGTCACCACTGGGGCAGCAGCAGCACGACATGAACACCAGCCCTTGCCCAGTGATAGTGAACCTCACCATGTGTCCTGCCATGCTGCGTGACATATCAGGGACAGCTCTGCTCAGGGTCCCAAACCTGGGTAGGATCTGCCATTGCCCCTCATTTCCTGTGCTTTAAGCTCATAGCATGGTTTCACCGTTTTTGCTCCTAAAAATCAAAACCGCCACTTTGGGGGAACCTGAGAGGACACAGCTGGGGTCCTATCTCTGCCACAGTTCAGGACTGCTTGCTCCGCCGTGTCCTCATGCAGCTGGACACTGCTTCTCCTGCCTGTGGGAGTTTGCCCAACCTCATCATTTCCCCAGCACCTAAGCAGAAAGGCACCTTGCGCCAGCCCTCCTGGGGCATCATCCATCATGATGATGTGTTTGGTGGGCACAGTCCAGCTCTGAGACCACTTGACAGTGCCCTCTAAACAGGGAACACAAAGATGCCCGAACCTCTGTCCTCCATGGAGGGATTGATGGCACAATCAGCATGGATGCGACACCCAGCCCCATAAACTCTGGGACCCTGAAGCATTTTTAAATTAAGAAGATGTAAGTTCCCAGATGAAGAATCCCCGAACTCTTGAATTTATTGTTCCCTATAAAGAAAGAGCTGAAATCCCATAGACATTGCACTTAGAGCTGTGTTTTTGTACAAGTATGCATAATTTTCATGCTAGCATCTTTGAGATTTAATGTCTTCACCACTTCCTTTTTATTTATTTCTTTGATAGAGTTATTATTAAAAATAATAGAAAAAGTTGGGCCAGTTAATTGGCCTTGGTGTGAGGTGCGTGAGACATTTCCAGTGAAATGCAGGCATTAGGTTTGAAACCGATCTTCTAGTTCTTTCGTCCCTTCTGTGTAAGAGGGACAGGGTGTAGGTTCTACCTGGTCCAGTTGAGTTGGCCAATGGCTCCTACTGAGTGAGAAGCAACCGTGAAAATATCAGAAGGGCAGAAACAGGCAGTGCTATTCTATACCAGGCACCCAATACAGTGCTCCTTAAACTGTGGAGAGAGGCTGGGATGGTAGTAGTAGATGATTTTTCTGCATTCAAATAACTCCTTACACAATTGTTCAAGCTTCTTTCTCTTTTGGAGTGTTGATTTGTGTTGGGAGGACTTTCATAATCTTGTTATCCATAATGGGATTCTTTAAATGGTATTTTCTACATCCTGCTAATTGTACAAATGAAACAAGACACCTATCATATGTTGGCTATCAAAAATATTGTGAAGATGCAGGTTTCAGATACAGGTAATTTAAAATTTTAGAAAATATGCATAAGATCATAATGAATATATTAAAACTGGAGTGTGGAACTTTTATGTCCCAGACTCAGTGGGATGGAGGAAATCTTTGTATGGGTTTTCTCTGATTAAAAGTCTGGGTAACACTGTACTCTAGATGGTAAGGTTCGATGAGACACTCATTTACCAGGCTGACCATTTCCATTCAACAGGAGAATCACAGGGCAAAGTCTTAAGAGCCCAAACAGCGCCATCTAGGTTTTAGAAGTGTGACCTTTATTGGCCCTCCATCCCATGGTCCATTGGGCCACTGTACCTTTATTCTGTATTTCTCAGAGGCGCCTGTAGTTTAAGGAGGTCAGCACTAGATGACCCTCGATGGCTCCCCATTTTCTTAGGTTCCCTTTCACGTTTCACATGCAAATTGATGAAATCCTGAGATGCATCCTGTCTTGTATTGTGATGGTTCTGATCTCTTCTCCTACTGATCTGTGAGATTACTGAGAGCACACAGGAGGATACACATATATCCATTCACAAACAGGGACACCCTAGTGGGGGATCAGGAAGAGCTGGGACATTTGCAAAGCAGACAGCTCCATGCTGTCCTTCTCAGAACTCTGGACTCTGACTCGGTGATCTGTCTTGGAGTCTCAGTGAGACCCAGATTTTTTGCTCCTGGTTCCTGTACCCGTCCTGTGTTCTTGGAAGTCGCAGAGCTGGTTTTTGTGGGACATGGGTCACTGTGAGTTCAAGGCCAGCCTGGGCTACATAGTGATTTCAAGATCATCCTGAACTGCATAGACCCTGTCTCAGTAAATAAATAAAGTAAAATGAAAAACTGGGCATGGTGGTGCATGCCTATAATCCCAGCACCTCAAGCGGCTGAAGGAAGAGAACCACAAGTTCCAGTTGAGGCTGGCCAATTTAGGGACTCAGTGAGGCCCTGTTTCATAATGAAAAATATGACAAAAGAGCCAGCAGGTATAGTTAAGTGCAGAGGCCCTGGCTTCAATTCCCAATACAGAAAGAGTGAGACAGAGAAGAGAGAAAGACTGTTACGAAAAAAATTCACCCATTGTTATCAAAATATATTTTTGACACTCACAGTTACATGCAACCATTTTATTTAAACTCCATGTAGTTTACAGAAAAGGCTTTAATGCAGTGAGTAATTCTTGACCCTCTCTACTTCTGTGGATTCTAACTTCACTCTTTGGGAACAGATAAGATGAATACTTCTGTGTTCTTTATAAATGATCTAGGAGAATGCTCACTGCCGGATGCCTCGGCCAGCTGGCCATCAGTGGAGACAGCAGTGCTTACCTTAGTGGGGTGATGTGGGAGTTAGAGGGTGACATGTGCCATGCACCCCCTCTGACAAGCCGGCCCTGGGATTCGACATTGGAGGCCTATTGCATGCCCGGCATGGTTCTCACCCTCTCCCTATATATGCGGTACTGCTCGCACCAATCCTATAATGCATCTCTTCTTATTATCACTTAGCACAGTAGGGAGTTACAGCACAGAGTGGTGAAATAATTCATCCCGGGTCACAAGGCTGGCCCCACACACAGAGCTGCTATTATAATCAATACCTGCACTGTTACTGTCTGCAGCACAGTGAGGTCCGGAGCTCGCCCTCCAGGGCTCGTGGAGAATCCACAAAGGGCGTCCTCTGCCCCACAAAGGAAGCTGCATTGGGTATAACGGATGTCCTGACCTTCACAGTGCTGCAGTGCTGGTTTTGCTCAGTAGGGTTCTGTCTAAGTTAATTAGCTGTGCGTGGAGAGGTTGAGTGGCTCTCCCCACAGGCTGGCCCTGTGGGAGCCCGCTGACTGTCAGCCTCGGTGCTTGCTTGGGGAATCAGGATGGAGGTGCTGTGTGCAGGAGTCATGCTGGGTGGGTGGACAGTGAGATAGGACCAGCAAGAGTCCCTTGAAGGGAGAGCAGGGCCAGGGCTCCCCGAGGCCATGCAGAGGTGGGAGGGTAGCTGCCCAGGCACAGGTGACACCAAAGGAGATGGGGTGTGCTTGCCGTGTGGGGGATTGAGACAAAAGAAAAGATATGATTTATTTATTTTTAATTTTTAAACAGGTGTTTTTGACACTTTTGGAAGATTCCAACAAGAAATTGCACATTGCTCCAGGCACCGAGTTAGAGCCTCAGGGCCAAGAACCCGCTGTGCCGACCACCAACCCCTGTGAGTACAGAGTGGGATTTTGCAGGGTTCCAGCCTCACTCGACATCCTCTGTCCCTGGAGTTGGATAGCATAGTGTCAGACTGCACCAATGGATGGGAGAGATGGGAGTGGGCAGTGGATGGGCTGTAGGTAAATCCAGACACAGGAAACTCAGGGATTTGTCCCATCTCAAAAAGGACGGCTGTGAATTGATAGGTGAAAGTTTACCCTTCTGCAGATCGAGACTTATCATATCAGGAAGTTCTCAAGAAACACTGACACTGTTCATTACAGTGCGATACTGTTCATTACAGTACATTCACTCTGTGATGTGAACAAGCCAGTGTGGGCTGCCCTTTCTGGCTTCCCTGTCTTGTGCTGGTGCTTGACTGGCAGCAGGTTGATGTGGGTTAAGAGACTACTCGATGTGTATTCACCTCACCGGGCTCCGACCCTGGAAGCCCTGACTTTTGTGCGCAGACCTCTTTGTGTCCACCTTAACCAAAGGACAGGATCCTGGCTTGGTTTCTGGGGTGTGATTGCACCTCTGGTTCACCCCTATGCCTAGTGTGTTTATTAGTAGAAACTCATCAGGAATCACAGAGCTGCACTTGAGGGTGCAGAAGGTAACAAACCTCAGAGGGCACCTTCAGAGAACTCACTCATCAGAACTCACACCAAGTGGGTACACTCCTAGGGCTATGTATTCCATTACTTTTAGTAGATGCTTGGTATAATCTTAGCAGTGCTACTGGACTGTTGTAATTTTTCTACTTGCTTTCCAGCCCCTGTTATAATGTAATTTAATTCGATCTACCTATCTATCTATCATCTATCTTTCTATCTTCAAAATTGATGCTTAGTGGATTTCTCATTGCAGCTTTCCTTGTTAGTTCCCTAATGATTGTGCCAAGCATATGTTCACTTTTTAACAGCCTCACACACTCATGTTTTTAAACTCACACACCTCAAATTTTACCCATATAAGGTGTACAATTCATTGAGTTTATACTTGTGCCCTCCCACCAGTATCAATTTTAGACCTTTTTCTTTACTCCCAAAAGAATCTCCACTCTGCACCATGTAGCTACCCCTCGCCACCAGCCTCAGGAAACCTCTGACATACTTCCTATCTCTGTAGTTTTGCCTCTTCTAGACATTTTATATAAATAACATCATAGATGTTGTTTTAGTTTGTTTTTCTTATTCCTGAGACACCCTACCTGATGCCCAAAGTTAAAGGAGGAGAGGTTTATTTGGCTCACAGTTTGCGGAAGTTTCCATCCATAATTAGTTGGATCCAACCAGAGCAGCAGTACAGATGGGCATCACAGAGTAGATATAGTTCCTGGTGGGCAGAAGGCAGAAAGCAGCAAGTAGCAATCAAACGTGACAAGAGCAACTTTCTTGTGTCCCTTTATACCCTATATGGGTGCTACCCTAGGACAGGTAGCGCTCACATCCACAACTATGCCAACCAATCAGCGGCCTGATTTAGTAATCACAGCCCTTGCTTCCAGCATCACACACCCTTGGTCCTCCCACACTTAATCCCAGTATAACACACTAGATCCAACCACCAAAGCCATGGCTGACTATGAGGCTTTGGGGGGGGGGCATCTTGATACAAGTCAAACAGATGCAGTCTTCTGTGACCAGCTTCTTTCACTCAGCAGAAGTTATTCAAAGTTTACCGAGACAGTATGTATTGGCACCTTATTTCTTTTGATAGCTAAATGGAGTTACATTATTGTGTGTCTATGATGTATTTTTGTACCCTCATCAGAGGTTGGGTGTTGATTTTGTTTCCAGTGTCTTGCTATTATGAATATGCTGTTGTGACAAGTCACATGCAAACTGATTTCCATGGATGTGTGTTTACTCTTGTCTGCATCTGGGGATGGAATGGCTAGATACACACAAGGTCTTCTGTTTCATCATTTGAGGAACCGCCAGACAGTTGTGTAAAGTGTACACACCTCGCATTCCCAGAAGCTGTGTATGAGGGCTCCTGCTTCTCTGTAACCTTACTAACATCAGTGATTCCTAATACCGGGCATCTTTCCATATGTTTATAGGCTATTGGTAAATCTTTGAAGAAATGTTTGTTAAAATTCTTTGTTCATTTCTGAATGCCTTCAGTGTCCACCCCACCCCACCCCCGTTTTTGTTGTTGTTATTGAGTTGTGAGAGTTCTTTATATTTTGTGGATGTAAATCCCACCACACTGCTGTTACTGAATGGAGTAGCCGCACATCAATTACATACGTGTTTCCAACAGTGCTGTTCCATTCTCTGTCTTTCTTGGCTTTCTGTCAGGTTGTTTTGCCCATTTTTGGACATGGGAATTGAAGTTTTTTTACTGTGATGTAGATGTGTGATATTCTACTTTGATTTCTCTAAGTGTTTGCTTCACATGTGTAGGAGCCCTGGTGTTTGGCTCAGGTGTCTTTAACTGTTACATCTTCTTGGTTATTTGATGCTTTCCATAAGAGGAGCATTTTATTTATGTGAAGCCCTTTTCATTCGTTGGAACCAATTTCCACTTAGCCTGTTTGTCTGATTTTAGTGTAGCTATCCCTCTTCTTTTCAATTACTGTTCCCCTGAAGTATCTGTCCCTATCTTATTAGAATATACATGTCTGTAGATCTTTTGTAGACAACATATACTTGAATCCTACTTTTTCTTTTTAAGTAATGCTTTCAGTCTGTCTTTCACTTACACACTTTAATTCTTCTGCAATGAATTAAGGAAGTTATGATAGAGTAGCACTTATTTTGCATTTTGTTTTTTCTATGCCTTGATTTTGTGTACTTTTTTGATATGGCATGTTTTGGGTTCTGTTCTTATTTCCTTTTATGTATGTCATGCAAATACTTATTTACCAAAGGGTAAATACCATACCAAAGGGTATAATACCATAAAGTTATGACAATCTTTCAAATTAATATTAACTTAACTTCAATCAAATGCAAAACTTTTTACTTTACCAGTTGTGCTCTACTCATTTTATATTATTGGTATCAAAAATTACGCCTTCACATATTTGTGTATGCAAAATAGCTTACAGTTATTTCTATGGTTATTGGCTTTTAAAACTTGCAGAAAGTATGGGGTCCAAAGAAAAATCCAATGGTATTAATTTTATATTTTTCCATTTATATTTATGTTTACTAGAAAAATTTTTGTTTGAGCTATCTGTGAGTTATTGTCGAATGTCCTTTCATTTTAATTTGAAGGGCTCCCTTTACCTTTTCTAGCAGCTCTGCTAGTCATGTGCTTCTATAGCTCCTGTTGGTTTGCAAGGGTCTAATTTCTCTTTCAAGTGTGAAGGGCATTTGTGCAGGATGTAATATATAATTTTGTGATCTTTCTCCATCCTTTGGAATGCTCACCCACTGCTTTCTGGGAATCACAGTTCTTCTGAGATGCTCAGTTGATAGTCATACTGGGGAGTCTTCCTTTCTCACCTTCAAAGTGACTTTTTCTTTTGACTTTCAGTGGTTCATTTATAATGCATCTTGGTGGGGGTCTTGGGTTTCTATTATTGGAGTTCATAGATCTTGCATTTGCTTATTCCTATTTCCTCAAATTATTGGAAATTTGAGCCTACTTTTTCTCTTCTTTTTCCCTAAATTTCAAAATTTGGGTATTGTCCACCTCATAGTATCCCATAAGTCTTTTGCTCTCTGAGTTTTTAACTTCTTTTTAAAAATAAAAATTGTTCCTCATATACTATAATTTTATATGACTTTCTTTACTTTCACTGATGCTTTTTTCTTGTCCAAATCTACTCTTCAGTTTCTCTAGTGATGTTGTTTTTCAGTTCAGTTACTATACTTTTCAGTTCTATTCTTTTGTTTTTGTTTCTTTTATAGTTTTAAAATAATTTTTGTCTCTTCATGGATATTCTCATGTGGCTCATATAATGTCTTCCTGATTTTATTTAGGTCTTTACCATCTTTCTCTTAAACATTAAGAATATTTAGGGCAGTTATTTTCAAAACTTTATTGGCATATTTGTCTTCAGAGACTGTTTTTGAACATTACTTTGCTCCTTCTCAGGGAGCAGGCTTACCTGGTTTTTTTCATGCATGTCTCTCTGTGTGTGTGATCATTTACTGAAACTTGGCATTTGGTAAATCAGCCACTCTTCCCCACTTTGTAGAGTGGTGTGGAAGACATTGGCCAGTTAGTGGTTCCTGCATCTTGAGTCCAGCTGGAAAAGGCTTGTGGATCTCTCAGTTCTATTCTGGGCTTGTGTCCTGTCTGAGCATCTACGGACACACTCTTCTTCTTTTCAGTTTCCCTGGCCACTTTTAAATGATTCAGCTTCTGTGACTCTCACCCTAGCACATTTCAGGGGTTTCAGATGCTCTACTGCTCCCTGATACCTTAGTCTGTAATCCCAGAGGTCTGGGACTCTGTCATCCTCCTCAGCTTTCACATGCTGTTGTGTCTGCTGATTCTTTTGGTGTTTTCAAGACTGATATCTAACTCGGTTGCCATTCCTGTGTCATCTCTGAGTCACGTGCAACCAATCAGTGCCCCAGTGAGTGCACCGCCAGGCCAGAACTTCAAAAACAACTTCCTCACTGCTCTTTCTGTCCCACCAACATGGGCAGGTAGGGGAGGGCCGCATTAAAACATCACAGCTACCACTCTGTGTGTGGTTTTCTGTTTCTGTTTCCATGGTGGAGATAGTTTGCTTGGTTGCTTAGATACCTCACTGATTTACAGGGGCTCCTGTAGGACTGTGATGGTTAGTCTGTGGTTGTGCATTTGCTGTCTCCATCACGGATGAGCGCCTGGAGGTCCTAATCCACCATCTTCCTGCATCGCTCACCTCTTGATTGTTTTAAGGGACCATTTTTCTGATTGAGGAGTCTGACTTCCTCATTTTTTTTTTTGAGTTTTTAGCCAAAAGCTGTAACTGTAGCACACACAGAGTTTTCTCTTTTCCATGTTATCTTGCAGTTTTCAATCACTGTAACAAATACCTGGGATAATTAAAGCCTG